GGCTTGGGGAGTGGTCTTGGGGGCCTCTTGGGCGGTCGTGGAGCGTCGGAGAGCTGGAAAGTGCAAAACATTGAAAAATCAATGGGGGTCAGCGATTTTGGCGTGTTGGGGCCGGCGGGGGGGGGGAGGGTGCCGGGGCGCGGTGGGGTCTCCCGGCCGAGGTTTTTGCCCAGAGTGGGGGGCCCAAAAACAGACCTCCAGAGGCTTGGGGAGTGGTCTTGGGGGCCTCTTGGGCGGTCGTGGAGCGTCGGAGAGCTGGAAAGTGAAAAACATGGAAAAATCGATGGGGATCAACGATGTTGGCGTGTTGGGGCGGCGGGGTGCCGGAGCGCGGTGGGGGGTCCCGGCGAGGTTTTTGCAGAGTCGGTTCCTTCTCCTCTTCCATTCCTTTACCTTATAAATATTATCTATAATTTTCCCCTGTCGCACCCCGAGGCCAGTTTTTAGGGCGGGCCGGGCGTTTCCCCTGAGACTTCCTCACTAATGATTCTGAAGCTTGAAAATGGCAACAGTTTCGTAGATGGAGGGCGGGTGGTATTCAACATATGGCTCTCGCCTTAGTGCCGCGCACATTCGTTTCAAAGAATCGCAAGAGCTTTACGGATTGAGGGCGGGTGGTTTTCAAAATGTGGCTCTCGCCGCAGCGCCGCGCACATTCGTTTAAAAAAGTTGCTAGAGTTTCACGGATTGAAGGCGGGTGGTTTTCAAAATGTAGGTCTCGCCTTTGCGGCGCGCACATTCGTTTTGAAATTCTTTACGCTTCGCGTATCCCCACCAGCCCATCTCAAAACAGCAACTCTTGCGAAGCATGCCGACAGTCGTGTTTTTCAGGCGTGTTTCCGCCTGCCCCCGCATATCTCCCCTGTTCCTCCTTCCCCCGCCTCCTTGCACATCCTCCTTGCGGTGGGGGCGGGAGAAGGACGAGGCGGAGGAGGAGGGAGAGAAAGCGCTCCTCGTGGTTTGAGTCGTTTGGGGTTTCTCGTCCTGGTGTGAGTCGTTCGGGCCCTTCTTCCTGGTGTGAGTCGTTCGGGCTCTTCGTGGTGTGAGTCGTTCGGGCTCTTCGTCCTGGTGTGAGTCGTTCGGGCTTCTCGTGGTGTGAGTTGTTCGGGCCCCTCGTCCTGGTGTGAGTCGTTCGGGCCCCTCCTCCTGGTGTGACTCGTTCGGGCTCCTCGTGGTGTGAGTCGTTCGGGGCCCTCGTCGTGGTGTGAGTCGTTCGGGCTCCTCGTGGTGTGAGTCGTTCGGGCGCCTCGTCCTGGTGTGAGTCGTTCGGGCCCCTCCTTCTGGTGTGAGTCGTTCGGGCTCTTCGTGGTGTGAGTCGTTCGGGCCCCTCGTCCTGGTGTGAGTCGTTCGGGCTCCTCGTGGCGTGAGGCCTCGTTGGAGGCCGTTTGGGGCGTCTTGGGGGCCTCTTGGCGGCCCCAGGGGCTTCCAGGAGCGTCTTGGGTGCCTCGGGGGAGCCTCTTGGGGCCTCTTGGGGGCCTCTTGGGGGCATCTTGGGGGCCTCTTGGAGGCCTCTTGGGGGCCTCCTGGGGGCCTCTTGGGGCCATCTTGGGGCCTCTTGGTGCCTCCTGGGCGCTTCTTGGGGCCATCGTGGAGGGGATGGATCAAAGAAGAGGGGAGCTTCAATGAGCGCTGCCCCCTCAGAAGGGCAAAATGAGCCCAAACCCTTCGTAAAATCAATGATTGTGCCTTGAAGGAAGAGGGGAGCTGTAATGAGCGCTGCCCCCTCAGAAGGCCAAAATGGGGCCAAAACCGTAGTAAAATCAATGATTTTGGCTTCAAAGAAGAGGAGAGCATTTCTTCTGGTCCCCCCCGTCGGGGCCAGAATCCTCGTGAGGGGTGTCGTTGTTTAGCCCTCCCAGGAGTCGAAAAGGACCCCCCCTGACCACCCGCGAAAGGACCTCTCCAGGCCCAGGGGGAGGGGGTAGGGGGAGGGGTAAACCCCTCCCCGAAGGGGAAGGAGGGTTGAGAACAGAGCGGGCTCTCTAAACCACTCACGCCCAAAGGGCTGGTGGGATTCGGCAAGAGCTTCACGGATTGAGGGTGGGTGGTTTTCAAAATGTGGTTCTCGCCTCAGCGCCGCGCACATTCGTCTGGAAAGTATGCAAGAGTTTCACGGATTGACGGCGGGTGGTTTTCAAAATGTGTTTCTCGCTTTTGCGCCGCGCACATTCATTTTGAATGTTTGCAAGAGCTTCACTGAGTAAGGGCGGCTGGATTTCAAAATGTGGTTCTCGCTTCAGCGCCACGCACATTCGTTGTAAAATGATGCAAGAGCTTCACGGATTAAGGGCGGGTGGTTTTCAAAATGTGGTGATTGTTGTAGCGCCGCGAACACGCATTGTAAACATGTGGAAGAGCTTCACGGATTGAGGGCGCGTGGTGTTCAAAACGTCGGTCTCGCTGTAGCGCCGCGGACATTCGTTTTTAATGATGCAAGAGTTTCACGGACCCCATCGTCATCATACCAGAAATGGCGTTTTGGAAGGATTCGGGATTATGC